GTTGGGTTTCTTGGGGAAGGTTTCTTTTGGTCGGGCCCCTACTGTACTGGGGGGCCCTTGCCCCATCCTTGTACACGCGGGCGCAAGCCGCCACGTGCAACAAGGGGACCTGCGGAATGCTGCAGAGCGCGCGAGAACGCGCGGAACCCACACCCAGCCTTTGGGACCGCTTGCCTGCGACCTCTGGGCCGCACGCGACTCCAGCGACCCTGTCGAGGCCTCTATCGGTATCGTGGCGACTGCCGATCCGATCCGATTCGCCGTCGACGGACGTCGCTACGAAACGGGCGACGAGGTCTATACGTACCCAATGCTCCCTGGCCTGGCCCCTCCAGGGCCCGGGAGCTGTGTATGTGCCATCCTGGCCAAGCCAGGAGGCCGTGGCGTATACACCGCTGCGTGGGTCAGGATGGGCCTGGCCAGGGACCAGTGCCCACACACACATACATGTATTCGTACACATCTCGTATTCGTACACATCTCGTACATCCTGTTACGCGTGCACATTTACACATATTCGTACACATCTATATCTATATATATATATATATATGTATAAATTGCGTTGCCCTTGTTAGCGTGGCCTGCAGAGCCGACGCCATAGACCACGCGCCTACCCTCGGAGGATCAACCCGCGGCCGCGAGGTCGACCGTGAGCGGGGTCTCTCCTCGTCGTCTCCCTTTTCCCCCACCGTCCACGCGCGGGGTCCCTCGCCTCCGTCGAAAAAGGTCGAGTGGTGAGGAGCGTCCTCTTCCTCCTCCTCCTTCTCCTGTCCGCGCAGGTTGGGCCCTGCGAGAACTCCAGGAGATCTGGCGGTTGAGTTGTTTTGATCTCGGTTTCTGGCAATTGGGCGGGGGTCCTTGCCTGGAGGGCCCAGGGTGTCGAGAGCCCCCTTCTTAGTGGGTGCCGGCAACCACTTTCTCTCGGGCTGCCTCCAGGCTTCTGGGTTCAACGAGGCATGAGTTCGTGAGCTTGGCAAGCTGTGCAGAGTTCGGGATTCCGAAGATCTGCTGGGCGAGGATGTTACGTTTTCCTAAGGGGGGCCCCGTCGCTGGCCCACGGTGTGCAGCCTGTCCGAGCCGCACCGTGGTGACAGAAAGGTCCTCTTCGATCGTGGTGACAGAGGCCCTCTTCGATGGGCACCCCTTAGGGTTTTTGGACTCTCTGTCTCTCTCTGTCTCTCTCTCTCTCTCTCTCTCTCCGTCCCCCTTCGTGGCGTGGAATCCTCCTCCCTGCTCCTCCTCCTCCTCCTCCTCCCTCCTCCCTCCTCCCTCCTCCCTCCTCCCTCCTCCTCCTCCTCCTGCTCCTCCTCCTCCTGCTCCTTCTCCTCCCTGCTCCTCCCTCCTCCTCGTCCTCCCCATTGCTGATGGTGATGTTGCTGCTGCTGATGGTGATGGTAATGATATGATGATGGTGATCATGATATTGATGACGATTGTGATGATGACGATGGTGATGCAGACGGTGACGATGGTATGGTGGTAACATCTGGTGACTATGATGGTGGCGGTAGGGGTGGTGATGATGACGATGACGACCATGATGATGATGGTTTACTGCTGATGATGATGGTGATGTGGTGTGTCGGTGGTGGTGGCGATGATGAAGATGTTGTTGGAAATGATAGCACTTCTGCCGATGATGATGACGATGACGGTGGTGGCTTTGATGAGGATTCGAATGGTGGTGATGACAAAACAGATGACGATTACGGGTGATGATTCTGTTGGTGGTGATGCTGATTACGATAAAGAGGAAGATGGGGTTCTCCGTCTACGATACTCGATCCTCGAGCGACGAGCTTCGATTCTCGAGCGACGCTCGTCGACCGTGGATCCTCGAACGACGCTCCTCGAACGGCGATCCTCGATCGCTCGATCCTGGATCCTGCATCCTCCTTCTGCTCCCTCTCAGCTTTAGGTTGACGTTTTGGGATCAGTAGCCTCCAGGATTCCCCTTTCCCCCCCAAACGACCTTGCCCTCCCCCCGACACAGCTTCCTTTACTCCCCAGTCGTCACCCGTTTGTTCCTCCTGCTACTCCGTACACGGGGAATGGCTGCAGGCGGGTGGACGCCTGCTGCGTTTCCCAGTAACGCCTCCCGCGCCGCTCAGTCGCATGGCGTTGTCACGCATGACGAGGTTGTGTGCTCTGTGGGCGGTGTCAGCAGCAGGAAGCCCGAGGCTCGAATCTTGGGCGCCCGTGTGAAAGAGGACTGCACACCTCTCTCGCCAGCACGCGAGGGGCATGGAGACCTGCCCGCACAGCCGCTCACCATGCAGATCTCGATCGATCCTCGATCCCCATTCTCGATTCTCGACTCTCGGATTCTCGAACCTCGATTCTCGATCCCAAATCACCTTGCAAACCTCCTCGATTCTCGGATGTCGGTCCTCGATCCCCGAGCGACAGCGGCGGCGAGGAGGCCCCTCCCGCTGGCCGCGCGGGCGGCGGCGTCCTCGCAGGATGCTCGACGACGGGTTCGAGGACCAGCTCAAGAGCCGGCGGCCTCAGCGCGCCATGCCGGCTCTCCGCCCGGAGGTCGGAGAGGAGGGGGGCGAGGACCGGTACGATCGAGGTGGATACGGAAGGAACGGGGACGAATGCCAACAGCAGTTCCTGTCCAGTTGCACTTGGATCGAGGTCGGTGTCGCCGCGGGCGTGGTCCATCTGAGACAGAATGCAGCCGGCCAATGCCGCTCTTGGACAACATGTGTTGTTGGGCATCGTGCCCATTTTTTGTGTTGCAGGCGTGCTAAGTGGCGGGGGAGGATGGTTCGAACATCGGGAGCATTCAAGAAGCCTCCGAACCTGTATGCCATTAAGGCCAATCTGCTAATCTCGTGGCCAGAGTTCCGCCCAGCCTATCGGCGCGAGATGTCGAATGGGGGTCCTCGCTCGAACGGACATCCTCCGGGCTCTGACAACTCTCACCAACATTCATAGCGCCCTCGCCGCCTCGCCCCTCCCCAGTCCTCCTCCGCACAGGTTCGGGCGTGTGCTCTTCTTGGTCTTCCGGCAGGAGCAATGGCTCGGTCCAGCCCTGCCACTCCGCAGGACACCTGCGGACGAGATGGCCGTGAGCTCGAGGGAGCAGGCTCTGGGCAGGAGGGCGGGCTCCCGAGCTGCCTCTTGCCTCGAGCCTAGCTGTGCGAATCGTGGCTGGGCTTTCGTTGCAGTCTTAGCTGTTTCGAAGCAAGGCCGCCGAGGACGGAGCCGTCCACGCAGTGCTGACCACGGCCGTCTGGCATTCGGCGAACGGCCGCCGGGCAGCTGGCCTGGGCCTCCTGGCAACAGGGAGGAAGAAAGCGAGGAAGAGGCAGCAGGTAGTCCCAAGGCGGGCAAACAGCGCAACCCGTAACGGCGTGGTGCGGAAAGATGTTGCGGGCGAGGTTGGTTTGCCAGCCTGCCTGCGCTCTCCAGCAGGAGTCTCTTTGCGCCGCAGCCAGTGTCCGCGCTGGAACTTGACTACAGCGGAAACCATATACGCCGGTCGCTAGAAAGTAGACATTTTTGGATTCCCAGATTTCGATGCTTCGAGCGCCTTCCTGCTTCAAGGATCGAATGATTTCCTTCTTCCATCCTCTTCAGGGGGCGGTCGGCGATCCAACCTACTTTCAACGCCTTCCTACTTCATGTTTCTTCCTACTTACCTACTGCTTTCAACGCCTTCCTACTTCGTGGCTCCTTCCAACCTGCTTCCAACGTCTGCCTTCCAACATACCTCCAACGCCTTCCTGCCTAAACTTTTCCTTTCCACTTCCTACTGCGTCCGACGGGCAATCCAGGCCGCGCCGATAACAGGCCACGCCGTCTGCCCAGCCTTGGGCAGAGTGCGTCCGCGCTCGCCTTCCTCGGCCCTGCGGGCGCGCGCCTGTTGCCAGGCGTGCGGCGGCCGGGGGAGGCAACGGCGCACTCTGCCGTCGGGCTGGGAGAACGGAGGGTTCGCTGCGTGCTGTGGCGCTCGCAGGTTGCCGTGCTTCTTCGCAAGCGCAACGAGAACATGATGTTCGCAAGCACGCTCTGGCGCTCGCCGCGAGCCCCCGCCATGGCGTGGTCAGCGTCGTTTTTCCCGAGCTCGCGCCCGTTGTCGCGTGAAGCAGATCAGCGTTTTACATTATTGCATGTGATCGAGCAAGGCGTAACTTTACATCCAACGCGAATCCAAACGATCTCGTATCGCAGCAGAGCGAGATAGGAAGCATTCGAATCGACATGTGTATGTATAAATGTGCAGATGTAGAGTTGTATGAAGATTGTACACGTGAAAATGCTGACAGCGTTGAGCCAACGCAGTATGTGAGTGAACTGTGGATGTGTAAGCTATGCGGTGCACTCTATGTGGTGCACGCTATTTGGTCGAAGCTATGCGGATTATATGTGGTTCAAGCTAGGCAGTGTAGGTGTAAGCTATGCGGTGCAAACTATGTGGCGTAAGCTATGTGTATATTACGTGGTGCACTTACTAATGAAGATCTGCTCGCGCGAACATCTGACCCTCTCATTCGCCATTTTTTGGGCAAGGCCCATTCGGCCATGATCGCGGTTATCAATTGTCACCTGGTAGATCATCTCTACGGCCGCGCTGGCGCGCGCGCACGCTCGCGCGCAGAGCGTCCCGCTAGTTTGGCACACTCGATGCGGCCGCGATGGCGCTTACCGATGGGAGCTTCCCAGCGGGTCTCCAAGGCCGCGCTGGCGCGCGGGCACTTCGGTGCGGGTTGGTCACTCGGAAGTGTGCGACATCACTGTGACATCAACAAATCCGGCAATGGTTATTATAATATCGATGGTGATGGCGATGCTGATGATGGTGGTGATTCTGATGCTGCTGCTGCTGATGACGATGCTGATTATGATGATGATGGTAACGATGTTGACGGTGATGATGGTGACGATGATGGTGGTGGTGGTGGTGGTTGTGATGATTGCGGTGGTGATGGTGTATTTTAGCCCTCGTTCGGATTGAGGGGGGTTTGCGGTCTGTTTTGGTCCTTCCCCTCTCCGCCATTCCTCGCCCATTCCTCCTGCTGCTGCTTCTGCTTGCTTAGTTGCACAATAGCCTTCTTCCGGGAGTTCAAGAGGTTCATTTTTGACTGGTCGCAGCGTTTCAGACCTTCTTCGAATGTGGAGTAGTGGGATTCTAGTGTCGTCGTTGTAGTCGTCGCCGTCGTTGTCCTGCTGCCGCGAGGGGCGATCAAGAACGGTTTCATTTTTTGTCATTGTCTCCCTCTTGTGGGGCGTCCTCGTGAGTCACGCTTGGACGCAGGCTCGAAATAAGTCGGGAAATTGGCCGCCTTCGAAGTCGAGCCAGGGCTCTTGCGAGGAAACCAGAGGGGGTTTGGCCACAATGTCAACATACCCCATTTCAGATGTTGTCAGCCGAAAGCGGTGAGTCACCGTTAGACCCGCGAAGCGGTGCCCGCTAGCGCGCTGCACCTGTGCAAACACAAGTTTTCAATATGAGCACCTCGGATTCGCTAGTAGCGAATCTCGAAGCCATGATCGCGGACATTTCGTTCGAGGTTGAAGGGGGCGCTGGCGGTCGCGCCATGACACGCGAATGGTCAGCTGTCGCCGCCACAGTGGGACCGAGCGGAAACTGGTGGTGCAAGTGCCATTCCTATAACATATAACGTCGATGCGCCGGCGCCCACAAGCGTCTTGCACAGCGGGGCCATTGCGTTCAGGATACCTGGCGCAACGGGCGTTACGTTTGGGGAGCTTGGCGCTGCGGGCGACGCGCCCGGGAATCCTGGCGCCATAGGGCGGCCCGGCGCGTTCCGGATGAGCTCGGAAGAGCCAGGAAAGCAGGGGGCGGAAAAGAGGGGGGTGATGATTAGGGGGGGGTGGATATCATGGCGTGGGCCATGATATTTCCCCAGATTTCGTGGCGCCTCTTCTTTTTTATTATGTCCCTGGCCCCCCCGCTGGGCCGCGCACATGCCGCCGGTCATGATTTGCACCCCCCCCTCTTGGACACCCCCCTCTTGACCGCTCCCGAGGAAAGCAGGGGGCCTTCTGCCTTACCATTTCGATAACGTCTTCTTCCCCCGTCGTCGTACACCAGAACGGGACAGGGCTGCAATGTCAGCCATATGGGCCAGAACGCGCAGCAGAAACATTGAGGGCGCGCCGCTGGATGCCCTACAGGGGGGGGGGGGGTCCGGACCCCCCCCCCCTCCCCTTTCCCCGGTCCGTCGTCGGCGGACCCCCCCTCCCCCCCTTTCCCGATCCGTCGTCCCTGACCCCTCCCCTTCCGCCTTTCAAAAAGGGGGGGGCGCGGTGTGGACCGCCCCCCCTCCCCCGCTTTGGACTCGAAAATCGGACCCTCCGCCTCCCCCCCTTTGGCCACGCCGCCTCCCTGGTTCTGGAATGCGATCCCTGCCACCCTACTACCTCGACTTCAAAACTATAACCCTGACACCCCAACCCTGACACCCAGACCCTAGCATCTTAACCCCAACCCTCACCCCCAACCGAATCCCTAACCCCATAGCCCAAACCCCTAACCTTGACTCTTCACCCTAACCCTGACCAATAGGCCTAATCGTAACCCAAACCTCCATCCTGACCCTAGCCTTCCCCTCAACCCTACCCCCAACCCTAAACCCTAATCCTTTCCTTATTTGAACCCCAGCACCCCTATTCAAACCCTTGTCTCTAACCCCTAACCCTAGACCCTGACCCGAACCCCGAACCGTTAGATCCTGAGATCCTTTGCGGACTCCTTTCGGCGGCCCCCCTTCTCCCGCGTGACAAAAATACGGTTTTGTGCCCATGCGGCCAGAAACCCCTGCAACAAGTACGGTTTCCCATGCATGCGGCCCGAATCCCTGATCAGGTCGCGCACCATTGCGCCGCCCCGCACCGCCTCCGCGATGCGCGCATGCTCCGCGGGCCCGACAGTCCCCCGACGCGGGGCCCGCCCTCGCTCGGCCGCCGCCTCCGCCGCGCCACCAGCAGAGCCGGCTGCCCCGAAAGCCTCCGGGCGCTTGCGAGTCGTGGCGGCGTGAACCAGGGAGCAGCGCTTTGCCAGGGTTGCGCGAGCAGCCCGCCCAGAGCTCACGTGGATACGGACGCGAGGGAGGCGAGCTTTGAGCGTCTCACAGACCCCCAGCGACGCGCGAAGCTGCGCAGCACATCGCCAAGGCGTCGGCAGCCTGCTGTGGGGAGCTACCCACTGGTCGCTTCGATCCCATGCCGCATCGCCGCTGCATCGGGTTGAGGCGCTGCGTAAGTGCTGCGCACGACGCATCGCACTGACGTCCTCGGTGCGTTGAGTTCTGTATGTGATGGGTCATGGGTGGGTGGGATGCGTCCAGCGGGCTTCGAATAGAGGCTAGTGGCCCTATCCTTACACCCTAACCTTGATTCCATTAACCTTACTTTTTAACTTAAAATCTTCACCCTAAACCCTAACCATGACCCCTATTCCGAAGCCTCACCCAAACCCCTAACCCTAATCCTAAACCCTACACTCTAACCTTACACCCGAAT